TCATAGTTGTTGTCTCTGCTGTGGGAAAAAGGGGAGTGTGGAAGTATGAGGGTGGATGGATGGATTGATTTTGAATGATTCAAAAAAGGACCAGCTCAAAAGAGTCATATTTTTATGAATTCAAACTACAAACATACTACTTTTTGTGTAGTATGTTTTTGAATTGCCAACAAGAGCTGGTTCATTACAGTTCATTTGTTTGAGAATTGAACATCCTATTCAAATGTAAAGTGAAAGTGAGGTGACATGTGGCCAAGTATGGTGACCCATACTTGGAATTAGTGCTCTGCATTTAACCCATCCAAAGTCAAGTTAGACCAACTTGTGTGGGGGGGGGGCATGTCCTAAAAGGTTGAAACCCCTGCTCTAACCCAGTGGTTCCCAACCCTGGTCCTGGAGGCACCCCAACACTGCACATTTTGCATGTCTCCTTTCTCTGACACACCAGTTTCAGGTGTTGGAGTCTCTACTAATGAGCTGATGACCTGAATCAGGTGTGTTTGATTAAGGAGACATGCAAAACGTGCAGTGTTGGGGTGCCTCCAGGACCAGGGTTGGGAACCACTGCTCTAACCATTAGGCCACGACTTCCCCCCATTATTATCATCATACATCATTGATGGTTGAATTCTGTGTGTACAGAACAAGATTAAGCCCTCAGAAGAAGTGTGGCAATAATTTTTAGCTGCATTGCTGGCATGGCTGATGTGTGTCCAGTAGATGACATGTATTGTGATTAATGCTCTTTACAGCACACATTTAAACAGTTTGACTGACAAACTAGAATTTGTTTCAAGTTACCAAGTCCAGGCAGTGTGAAAGAACAAGAATTCCCACCTACAATTCCTGCCGGACCTGAGACTCGAACCCGCAACCTTTGGGTTACGAGGCCGACTCTTTAACCCAGGGGTTTTCAACCTGTGGGGCAGGGCGCCAGCACCTGTCAAGGGGGGCGCGAGCATCAGTTAATTCAGAAACGTTCTCTTGAGAATTTATGAATGAGTTAACATCTTTAGCCATCCACTAGGGGGCAATCTGACTCCCACTGCTAGTCGACAGTTAGAGCAGAGTTGGCTCGAGTATCAGTCACGCTCAGTGTTGCCAAATCCTGGTTTTCCCGCGGAATTGGGCTACTTTAACACTTGCCGCGTTTTGTAGTTTTGAGTAGTAATTAGGCGGGTTTTGTTGTTAAAACCTGGCAACCCTGGTCACGCTTATTGACAGTGTAAAATGATTAACGATTAGCCATGTCGGAAATCCAACCACGGATTGGCATGTTGTTATCTCAGAAACAGGCTCAGCCATCACATTGAATCAGGTAAACTGGTTATATATTTATGTTTCAGTATAATTACGCACGCTATACCAGGGGCGGTTCTAAACCCTTTTTAGGTGGGTTTCAGCCCCCCTATCTGGCACCTTAGCCCCCCAAAACTATCTTAACGATCAGGCCAGTGCTGCTTCCTCGAGAAAGTTTTTCATTCTCACGTGTTTGAAGTCTTGTCAGTTTAAACATGAAAGTAATTTTAAGCCATTTAAACCCAAGACATCTCAGTGCGGTACTCACGCACTGTGGTAGAGCGTTTCTATGCGCACCGCTCGCACATCTGAAGTGCACAAACAGATTCTCAGACAGCAGGTGAATACCAATGGCTGTCTTGACAAGTATCCTTGTAAGCACAGTCGGTTGTTTTAAGTGAATGTAAACAGTAAAGAAAATATAATATGTACATCAGCCTAACGTGTATTTCTTATGTAAATAATGTTAATCAGAAAGAGCAAAAGAAAAATTGTTCGCTGCTTTAATAGCTTTAATGGATATTTGCTTTTATGTTAATTTTGGTTTGTTTTCCCATTTGGCTGAGCTTGAACTTGAAATGATAAACAGTAGCTGTTTGTAATCTGGGATCGAGCTGCTGAGGGAGGCAGACAGGAGCTCTATCAGCATTTTGCAGCCTGTATGTAGAGAGAGAGAGAGAGAGAGAGAGAGAGAGAAAGAGAAAGGGATGAAAGGGAGAGAAAGAGAAGTTTGGAGGATAGAAATGTAAGTGAAGAAAAAAGACTGAGAGAGTTTAATGAGGGTGGTTACCGGCGGGGCGCTACAAGCAGTCAACCCACCTCTGAGCCAGCCGTTACTCAAAATAAATCTATATGCAGTGTCAAATACATAATGATCAGCATATCATTAGTATCAGCATGCATCCTCAGACGCAGGATCAGCTGTCACGGATGCTTCTCTGAGTGGCAAGTGGCAATTTATGTTTGTATAAATTAGAATAATGCCGGGATCAAGCGTTTCTTTTAAGCTTTCTAGAAAAAAAGTGCTTATCCAAAAAGTCAATATTGTTAAATAGTGGCTATTATTCATGAAATTATGATGATTTTTTTTTGTTTGTTTATTATAAATGATTTATGATATTTTTCTTTTCTTTTTTTTTATTAACATGCCCTTGGAATCATAAAAATTATCTTTAAAATAATATTTAAAATAAATTTAACTAGTCTATAACTTTATCAAATTCTGTTTCATGCAGACTTGCATCTGTAATCTTAATATCATTTTTATCAGTCATATCATTATTATTTACAGTTTTAGAATTAGTCTAATTTATTTCTGTCCTATTTTCTTCCACTTTTACCATTAAATTGACCACTGATTAAGATGAATAGAATCAGAGCCACCTTAAACTTTATCGTTGCATTGTCAGACAGCATGTGTCTTGTCTTCTGTCAGCTGTGCAAGACAATTAACAATTAGCACATATGCCACCTCTGTGCCTCGTTTAAATAGTCTGTCAGCAGTGCACCTTTTCTGTGTTGCATTTGCAGTGTAAAGACGGATTTAGTTGTTCGAATGCATAACCTCGTGTGACTTTTCAGTAGTCCCAATTATCCTTGCGCGTACGTTAATGGTTTATATACCTCATCCTGAAGCATAATGTGGTTTGAATAGCTTGAGCAGTGTTCAGTGAAACTTTTGAGTGTGAAACTATAAGATAAGCCTGTTTGAGTGGATTTTCAAATTTGTGCATGGTTTTGGAGAATTTGTTGTGTGAATTTGTTGCTTTCTGTAGAAGTAGTGTGCAGTTGGGATTCAGGCTAGATTCTGTTTTCTCTGGATTCTATGGGTGAAAAAATGTAATAGTGTGCCATCTAGTGGTAAAGTGGCCCACTTTCACATCTTGGCTGTATTACAAAGTGCAAAGAGAATAAGAGCTGTTCTTTGCTTAAAGTCTTTGCAGGTCATGTATTTTTAGTTCATAGCTGCACTCATTCATTAACAATGGGCAGCATTATTTTTCTAATGGGTACTACTAAACATGTGAGCTCTATTTCTGTTGCATCAGACAAGATCATAAAATCAGAATATGGGATGATCTTGTTCTTATGTATCCAATTGTATAGACTAAAGGTTATTTTTTTAGGCAGCCTTGTATCAATAGCCACCAAAACCACAAATTTAGAGAATGTAAGTGGATATTTCCTCAGAGAGCATGCAGTAAATATCTATGGATATCAGATATGTACTTTATTGCAGAGATTTAGGCAGAATGTAAGTTGTTACACATTGTCAAAGATGTGGCCTTTTATAATTTTGCTGTACATGAAAACATCTCCAACAAATCTTGGATGGATGAATACTTAAATAGAAATTTCTGAGTGAAACCAACACCAAATATTTATCAGCATGTATGCCATAGTTGTCTGATGAATGAACAATTTATCAATGAACAACTGATTGACAGTGGCCAGAAACCTTGTGAGTCTGACTCATGAATATTAATTAGATTGTTTACCATTGGCCAAGCAATCTTAACTGATTTGCTGAAAAACAGGATTACTGACACAATCGGGATTACCACTTACTGGTTACATTGGTTGGTTTGATCAACTGCTGATGCAACTGGTTAGCAGAGCCTTCTGTTTGGTTTTAATGCCGTTGTTTTATGTGGTCTGCTACAGTTTTCTTCTTCACACTGTAGCCAATCCAAAAAACAAAAAAAGCTCTTAAAATATAATGATTATGCCCAAAAAGTGTTTTCACATTTCATGGGATGCAGCTTGGCTTAGTTTCTGTTTATGGCCTGAAGAGCATCATCTCTCCGAGGCGAGCCAAGCAGATGCACTGGGAGAGAGATGAAGTGATGGAGAGAGAGAGGATGGGCCTGCCTCCTCCTCACAACTAGGTCAGAGAGAAGACAGCACTAACAGATTAACCTTCTGTTCTAAAATAGCTCCATCTCGGGTATCGTCTCTTTGCATTATCATCTGTAGACTCAGATGATTGTGTATCTCCACATTTGAAGTGTATCTGACAGAAGTGTCACAGCTCAAGATATCTCTTGGTTTGATTGGTCACACTTGATAGGATGATGCCTCAACTGTCAGGATCCTATGACTAACTAAAAGGGCCCAAGCTAAGTGGATCAGACTTTTTGGGATCATTTTAACACAATCTGTAATGCATTTCAGCACAGCTTGGGATTCAAAATCTGATTTAAACTCAAAAATAAATTGATATTTTTAATTTCAGGATTTTCAAGAAATTAAAAGGAAAGAAAAAAGGTTTATCCTTTGTAGATGTTTTAGAATCTACACTGTTTGCCATTATAATTCATGTTACTTCTTAAATTAAACTTTTCATTCAAATTGTTATGCTGACATTTATTATTTTTATTTAAAAACTTTTCATTTTTGTTTTATTATAAATTATACTATATATATATATATATATACACAGCATGAAGTGACTTTGTGTGCATAGGAGAGAGGGGGATGGGACAAAAAGCACATAAGTGGAGCAGTCCCCAATAGGTGTCAGCTGTTGTGCTCGATTTCATTGTAGATCGTTTGGACCGACCCAAGAGTGTGGATGTGTGCGTGTGTGCGTGCACGCGTAGATTGCATGTCTATGTTTACAAAGTAGTGTAGCGCGTGTCAGTGGAGATGCTGAGCCCTACGGACTCTGAGCTGATGTATTACCTGAACTGTGTGTACAGGGAGCCCAGGAAGATCGTTCTGCACAAGGGCTCGACTGGACTGGGCTTCAACATCGTAGGAGGAGAAGATGGAGAAGGCATTTTCGTCTCCTTCATACTTGCAGGAGGGCCCGCGGATCTCAGCGGAGAGCTGCGTAGAGGAGACCAGATCCTATCCGTAAGTGGATGTCCCGAAAATACATAAACCATATATTTGAGGGCAAAATGGCTAAATAATATCACAATGATCATAATAAGATATACTGACCTTTATGTTTGTTTCATGATATAAACAGCTATTTATTGAATTGTATTGTATGTATTCCAGTTAAAGTATCTGCCTCAGAGGTCATGAATAGATGTCATATTTTGCTATTATATGCCGTAAACCACCATAAACATTTAGAAGCACATGTCCTCCTTAATATTCAAATTAGTAGTTGATAAATCTTTTTAAAAGTTTAATGACCTTGTTTCTTTAACTTTTACATTTAGGTCCCCAAATCATAGTCATGCATGGTTAAAGAGACCTAAATGTTATAAGGAGTCATTTGAATGTTTTTCAATTTTTGTTTTCAAATACTAATTATGTTTTGATTTGAACAAACATCATGAACGTTATGTTTTTATGTAGTCATTCATATTGGTATATAAAATTCTCAGAGTAGTGCAGAACCTGTACTGAACAGGAGGTGGCACCATCACATCATTCTGTGAACCTACAAAACCTGTGCCGAAAACGCTTTTTTTGTTTGTTACCTTTTTTTGTCTGTCTAGTCACTACTCAAAACTCCACCAGTTCCAGGTTTCGTTTATTTTTTTATTTTTTCATTATAATTTAATCAGTTTTCGGGCACAGATACAGTTCCGTACCCTTTTTTGCGGCATGTTAATTGACAGCACAATTAAAGCTCTCATTGAAACAATCCAGATCAGCGATCCACTCGAGAAGCTCTCCAAGCTGATTTGCTGTCGCTGATCTCATCATTTATGGTTATCACAGCTTCATCAGGGCTCACTAGTCGTAATCAGACCCCTCCATCCAGATCCCCACCACAATTACTTTCAGTGCCACTTGAGCCGAGAGCAATCACGGTCTGCCTCCTTAGGACACTGATTAGAACGAGAGAAAGAACAAGGGAGAGGAGAGAAATAGGGAGGGAGGGAAGAGATAATGGAGTGCTGGCCTGATTTGGATTCTAAGAATAGCTGTGGTGTACATTCTGAGTTCACACTGTTAAATGAGCATTAGGACACGCAGCAGGCACGCTAAGACTCACATACACAAACACCTCCCCTGCCCCTCCCACTGTGCTGTGGTCTCATGTTGACTTCTTCTGTTTGTAGTCCTAAACCTGGTGTAGCCCAAGATCCTAGCCCCCTGCATAGACCGGTTCCCCTGGACCCCAAAGAGATTACATTGGCTGAAACTAATTAGAAATGGTAGAAAATTGTGTTATTTAGTCTTAATCATGAAAATATGTGAATGTATTTTAATTTACATATAATATTAATTAGATATACTGTATGTGTATATATATATATATATATATATATATATATATATATATATATATATATATATGTGT